GAGAAGCCCACCACGTGGGAGTTTTGCCCCAACGTGCACTGTCCATTGGTGGCAATCATTACTCGTATGAATAAAATACTTTTTTTTGCAATGACAAAACACTTGCGTGTCTTCTCACAGTTCTGCTCAATTTATCAAATCATGATTGACATGGTATTTTAGCATATCGCATCGGACTTACGGTCTCCCCCTGCCTTCCCCTTTTCTCCCCCTTCCTGCCCCCCCTCTCTCTCCCTTCCCCCACGAAGCCTGACGTCCAATCAACAATTAAAATTGTCTCCCGCACTAAAAAAAAAACGTGTCAATGGAAATTTTCCAGTCAAAATTAAGTGTTTACAAACGCTAACCAAAAATAAGTTGATTGAAAAATTTACAAGCACCACTGTGGGCGTGTCCAACTTCAAATGATATCCGGTAGTTTCTAGCTTCCGCAGTAAAGTCAGTTTCCGCTGTCATCAACATTTATCCCCATAAACGCTTCGAAATGCTGACTGAATTTCCATGCAGTAAATGTTCGCATTTTATGTATTGGGAGGGTGTTTGGATTCCCTCTTGTGTTTATACAAGACAACACATTGTTAGGGAGGAGGACCGCTTAAAAATCCCAACTGCAGCCCATCATGCAAGTATTTCAACTAATTTGTAAAAAAAAGCATTTTTGTGATGTTGTTGCAGTTTGGTGGTCTTTGTTGTTACGATAGTCGTGGGCTGTGGAATTTTCCTTAATGGAGGCGGTTTGATATCGCCAGGTCTTAGAAGTGCACTGATCGGATTTCGAGGCAAGTTGGGACAAAAGCGTCTACAAGCAATCAAGTGGCCGACGGGATTAGCCATGCTTAAAAGGGGAAGACTCTTCAATTTTTCGACAATCATGCAGTCCTACTTGTCATCAGTGCTCATGTACTGCGTTTCACAAGGCAGGATTTCCACGGTGCTCACAATTTTACCTCCCAAAGCCCAAGAAAATGGAGCAGTTGTGAATGGGATTGGTGGTATGATCTTTCCTTTTTCTTTTGCATTTAAGTTACATTGCGACCACCTACACCACCCTCCGGGGAAATCCAAAATCAGATGGGCAGGTGGGTGGACTTTGTTAGGCAGACATGGACTTGCTAAATGAAACTGCATTGAGATGAGGGTGGAGAGGCAGCAGCATTCACTATAAGCCAAAGATGTCTGCGAGGGCAATCACTACCCTCCGCTGCCTTGTTTTGGCTCGAAGTAAGTTTTATTACCCATCATGCCCTCCGATGGTAGTGCATGTCTCAGACTTTTCTTACCCTGGAGCACGCAAGGCTTATCATTGCATAGTAAATCAACCTCTCTGCTGTACTTGACGGAGTCTGTGCATTTTCATTAACTTTCAACCACACCTTTATCTCAGTAAAGCGGTGGAAGATCAGTCAAAAACGTAGGCCTTGGGAAATCGGGGCCTCGGGACCCTCGTGACAGCGGTTTACCCATTTCTGATTGGCTTGACCAAAAAGGCAAATCAGAATCCAGTTTCCAAAAATCACATCCATCAAATCCACTTTTCGTTATGTGTCAAGTGAACGAAAGGTTTCCACCATTAGGGTGGGAAGAGACTGAGACAGCATTTCCTGCGATTCGGCGTGCTTCCGTTTGGGTAAGCCTGACCCATGGACATCACATTGAGTGGTATTTTAATTTTTTTCCCACTCACTTAATTAAGAGACCAAGTGGAGCTACATCACTATGCCTTCTCCAGGCGGCAGTATCTGAACGACGCATGACAGGTCCTCCCCTGCCTTTAGCAGCATCATAGAATTTATAACCAAGATAAAAAGTAAAGGGCGAAATTCACATAATGCGGAATCCCTTTGGCCTCGATTTCCTTATGGAAAGTATGCCACTGCAATGAGTGCTACATTTGCATTGGTAAAACCAAATCTTTTCCGTCTCCTCGGTAAGTTTATTTCTCAAAACACCCATTAGTTCATCAATTAATTTAGATCACAAGCCCTATGGAACTCATAAATAAAGCTCCGTTTGGCTGAGTTTACCAAATTAAACACAACTATCCCCTTTGTGACCAGTGAAATCGCTAGCCCACTTTACAAGGGAAGGAATTAAAGGTGAAAAGTTGAGAGAAGCCTGAGCACCCTCATCACAGTTTGCCAATGGGATTCTTATGAAAAGCTATCCCAACTGCGCTTAAAAGTTGCATCAAAGGATGAAAGAGGGCCAGAGAAGTTTAAACCTCGCCATTTTGCACACATACCATCAAATGCCATCCAGTTTTGTGATAGTCTTTTGTGTGATTTATGCCTGTGCTGTGGGATGGTGCCTCTTAGAAAGCAACTCAATGTATGCATTGAATCCAGGACGAACGTTTACCTAAAGTACTAAAAGTCTGTTTTAAAAAATCAGGTGAAATGCTTCGGTTATTTGCTAAAACACACCTTTCGATATTGAGGGCACTTTAGGCTCCTCTATTATGCGCTTTTGATGGTCGGGCTAGCCTTTCAATCTTCCAGCTCTACCGTACTTCTGCAATACATAGTTCGCCTGCATTCCATGTCTACTGTCTGCTTCAAAAGAACTTCGATTATATTGCTATCAAAATTGTTTATAAAGAAAAAAAACGGGTTTAAAATACATTCTTTTTGGTTCTGCTATGCCTTACATAGCAAAATGAGTTTAAAAAAGGGAAATCTAGTTTATGTAAATACTCACGAAAAAGGAGTAAATAAAGTTTCTGGGAGAGAGTACTCTAAGTAGATCGACTTGAACACAATAATTTGGCATCTACAGCACCGCCTTCGCATTCGCTGTTAACTTCCCGAGTATCACAATGATCTACCTACGGAGGGAACGAAAACCACCTAATAATTTGCTTTTGGTCAACTAATACAGCGGCAGAATTGTCCTTGCCAATTAACTTGGAACCCAGTCACCCAGGCAGTAGCCAATCAAAACCGCGGACCGGTTTAGCATGGGCGCACAAATGCAAGGCACTTCATTAATGCCACAAAAATTTTTGAAATGCAACTGCCACAGCAATTTAAAGCCTTAAAATGCAATTAATATGACCAGATTACAGGACTGATGCCCTCGTAATGCTTAGATATGCTAAATTGTTGTTTATTCACTGCATTTGGATTACGCTCACGAGAAGTGGAATTATGCTCACAATCGCCGGTACGTATTCTCGCGCACTTTGGTGAAGCTTGTTTTCATAATCTGTTAATTTTTCTTTCTTGTTATCTTAAATGCTAAATTTTTGCATTTTTTGGAAACCTTACGTGTGTCTTTAAATGCGTTTGGTTGGCATTATAGAATCGTAGGTGTTTAGTGAACATACCATTCTATGCAGATTCGGGGGCTCCAGTATTAACTTGACACTCAAAAGGTTAAAATGTTTCCATAACTCTTTTAAATATTTAAAATTAGTCCATTTTGTGAGGAAAGAACACATTCCCATTTGTTTGTCTCCTTCCTGATGAGGTGAAGTATGACTGGACTCCATTTCACAGCACTGACACTCGGTTGACAACTAGTTAAAAACCACAAAGCTTAGATATTGTCCACTTATACGCATACTACAGCTACAGTTATAATGCTTCTATTCTGACCTTCCCTTGTCTTATTACCAAACCAAGCCTGATAATACTTAGAGGGACCAGTACTTCTTGAAATGACGACACTTGACACTTGGCATGATTGAAGTTTAACATGGCTTGTTTAGTTGCCGTATATAATCTTTCTGTGTGCCACCGTTTTTAGGGCAGAATTGTCTCCACTTCGAGGGGAACAGTTGGATTGAAAACCACTTTTCCAAAGGACCCTTGTTCAGTGCCCACGAACAGATTTCCCTCCAATTCAGGACAAGTCAAGCCAACACTCCGCTATTTTTTACCGGTAAAATTGAGCAACACAAGCTCAAATAACAATATCACATAATACATTCATCTCCTGGCGTTTAAATGTTGCTTAAGTGATCATTTACCCTCACTTAAGAGGGGAGTGAGACACCAAAATCAGGCTTTGTTTTTTCCTTCCTCAAGACCCAGTGAGTCACTGGTTGTTGTCAAACCTAATTTCAAACCACTAACAACTGTTGGTGCATAAGTTGAAAAAAAATTCGTTAAAGGAGCAAAACAAATCACTTTAAGAGGGTTTTGATGTCTCAGCATCGAAAACAAATCCCAAAGTCTGGCCCTTTGCCTGCCCTGCTAAATGCAAATTAAGGAGGACGTCATATTTCCTTTGACTCGCTACCATATTGCCATCCATACCCACAAATATTTTTTTGTCTTTTGTTTCCTAAGACATCAATTGTGGCTAAAAATGAGCATAAAGTGAGAATTAAAAAGATTACTTTTAGCCTGTTAATGACACAATCTCTTTGAATACGTTCAAGAGGTCGCACACAAAGGAGGACATCATGCCAATAGGCAACGGCTTAACAATACCACCCCGCTTTGACAAAGCAAAGGACAGTTTTGTCAAGCTTATGCCACCTATTAGTAAGTTGTTAGGTCATACAATGCGTGTGTATGCGACGACCTTGAACTCTGAGGACAAATTGGAAGCCGAATTTGCTCAATTTTCCATTGGTCTACAGAAAGAAGCAATTGTTGCCTTTTTTTCGCCACTTTGTTAGTCCGTCTTGGTGTGCATTTTTGTGGTAGCTAGAATGCGAACAATATTTAAACTTTCGTGAAAGAAAAAGTTTCCAATCATTTATTGAATAGGACAAACCATCTTGGACTTGGTGACCGCTACAGCTTGATAAATTACGATACTTTTCTCTTAACAACACCTAACCCAAAAGATTTTTGTAAGTGGCATAATTGTAAATTTCATTTGTTTTTTTTTTTGATTGCGACATGGGCTACTCTCAAGGAGGAAGTGGATCTGAAACAGCCTAAAATCCTTTCCTAAACAAAATGAAATCCGCCCTATTTTTGGAACATCCGTGCCTACAAACAAAAAACTAAAAATTGTACTTCGTGCATGGTGTGCAAAAGATTCTCATGACCTCCAGTCCCTTCACGAAGGTGAAACGAGGTATGCGAGACTACGTAACAGTGCCTCGTAAAGGTCCAAAGCATCTTCACTGCTGACTTCAAAATCGTTGGAAGACGCGCTGCAGCATAGAAGACAATGAAATGGCTCTTAAGGCCAGTTAGTCAATGTCATCATTCCTTCGATGACGTTGTCAAAGTCGATAGGGCAAATTTTCTCCCCTGCAAGTTTGCCTCGGAATGAGCGCTTTCCACAAGGGAGGCGTGACTAAGTGCACGGATGCGACTTGAAATACTAAAATCAGTTTTTAAAAACAAAGTTAAAATTGAAATTTCTCCTAACTGTGAATGCTTTTTGTGTGCCAATCTTTTTGGTAAACACTTTTGATGGATATGGGGTTTTAGCCATCCCTCTTCCCTGTGTTTTACAGGGAGTGACAAGTGTTAGCAGACATTCAGCGGGCTAAAATGAGATGTCCACTGCAGGTTTTTGGTCCATCTAATCATACTAGGCCATAGTAGGACTGACAACCTTTCCATCTGGACCGCATTCTCAGCTCCAACTGACACAACTTTTATTCAAGCCTCCATTCTTCCCTCTCATTGGTTGGTACCGCAGGCGACTGAGGGCTCCATTACTGGGCAAAAAAAACTATTTCCGAAAACAAAGTACTCATTTTGCCGATGGAATCGAGAGTATGAACTTTTGTACTCCATCATTTTCGTTTAATTCCATTGTCTGGGTTTTATCAAGGCTTCATCTCGTTTACTAAATGCTAAAAGTCTTCTTTGTACCTCTCCTGGGATTATTCATGATAGAACGCAGTCATCGGATCGGCCAGCGTTTTAAAAGATCCTTGACACTCTATACCATGGATGGTGGGGATGATTCCCTCTCATGTACAATCTCGGAGCGGTATCGCGATCGAGATTGGCACCTTTACTAGCAAGAGATGATTAAAGCCCTCGCGGACTTCCGTGTTGGCACACATGTGTGTTGCGAAGACCTCGGAATTTCCTGACCACTTACTGATCGCAAGGCACTGCATTGCCATGCCTTAATCTTACCATCATGATGTTGTGTTGAAAGGTTGCAACGAGTCCTACTATGAACTGTCGTTAAAATCGGGTCTACTGCATCTGCGAATTCGTCTTCCTGCGGAAGTTCCCTCCGACCAGCCAACTGAAGTGGTTCCACCCACCGCCTCCTCCGCCCTCACGGCTTTCAAGTGGTTCCATTCAGCAAGAGCAGGTCACCTATCTGTGCGTGAGACACTCTACGCCTTTGCTGGACTGGAGTCGCGACTAGACGACGGCCAACTTCACGATCTCTTGTTGGAACGCAGTCCTGATCAGGTTTGTTGACGATGTCAAAACAATTTTACTTCCATTTTCGTGTTCATCTACAGACTGTACCGCCTCCAACTTCTTGTTTTGGGTAAAAATTTTACCCCAAGTTATCCACAAGCATATTACCTTTGCCTTTCTATATTTATGCAATCGACTAAATTTAGTTGTCATTTATATCTCCCTCTCGAGGCGAGGCTGTTGCCAAATGCGGTGCATGTATACATTCTCAGGCTTCAACGCGCATTTATCTAAAATACGAAGATTTTATTACTTCAGACAGTCGAGAAATTCGTAGACATGATTAATAATAGCGTTACTGATAATTAGGAAACCTCATTGGTTTTGCCTCTTTGACGGCGGCTGAAGATGTTAAGACACCTCTTCATTCGAGGTTTCTGATTGTCTTGACGAAGCAATGACCATCGCATCGGGGAATTTAAGGATGGACACCAACCCCTTATTCAAGCGATACCGTTCTAGTTTCCGCTAAAGTAAAAATGCGCCCCATTTACTATTCCCCTGCATCATCACCATCATCATTTATTTACATGCCAGGTTTTTGTAATCAAAGGAGAGGATTGCATAGCATTTTTATGACAGTCCTCATTAGACACTCAACTAAGCCCTCCGAGTGGATAATTAATGTAGAGATTCTTTTTTTATTAGGCAGTAGGAAGAAGACCCAAAATTGTCTGTTCCGGTTCATTGTACAACCAACCTCTTCAACATCCAACTTTAGGTATCCCATTGTTTTGTAAAATCCATTCGAAAAGGCCGTTTAGGTGGAATATAAACTTACTAATAAGCAAGTAAGCACTTCCTTTCCCTCCAAACTGCATTGTACGGAGGTGATTGAGAGGGTTGTTGGTTGTTGCGATACCCATCAACAATTATTCCAACATTTTAATAAATGCATTAACACTTAAGTCGGGAAAGATGAAAAAACAAATAGTGCTGTCCCACATAAGCTCTTTGGAGAATAAAATCTTAGTTTTTCTTTAAATGATTATTAACCGTGCCTACTTCAGGGAGGAATGAAGTCGGCAACACCTCTGCCGACTTGAGGCGCCAAATTGAGAGGGTCTTGTCCCTCCTCGCCAATCCCACCCTCACCTTTTGAATGACGATCTTGTGAGGTAAACACAAGCCACGCAAAGTAGGGAACTAAAAAACCGTATCACCGGTGTTATTGTTTCAATTCGGCACAACCCAAATGAAGAGAGTGTTTTTAATACTCCTGTTTGGTAGTGTGATTTCGGATCTTTTTTTTCTCCAAAGTGCCATCACGTCTATACAAGTGGGCCGTTAATCATGCTTGTCTTATGGCTGGTTAACAGTTGCTAAGTGAAAAGAATGCTTGGGCACTCCGTTTTATGTCTCCTACTCCTCACTTATATATTAAAAGTGTTTTTTTATCTTTGGGAAGAGGTAAACTTATTAAATTAATTGTCTACTTGACTTGATTAAGACCTCAAAGGCAGCCGTCAGCCTTGTAAAATAAGCTCGAAACACTTTTTGTTGATTTTTCGCAAGGATTTTAAGTAGTCAGTCAATGAATAAATTAAAAGTGAACGTCCATTTGAAGCAAAGCGAAGGGGAAATAATACTTTGGAAAACCTTACCTACAGTGTCTCGGTGGTGTAACCTTCCATTGAACAGCTCCTTCAGCTTCAATTAACGGAAGTGCGTAATACCTCGTTGTGGATTTCCTGGAATGGCATGATCTAGACTGTGATTACCTCAATAGCAAACATTTCAGTGGAAAATCATCGTTGGCACCGCGTTAAAGTCACTCCATAAAGTGGACAGACCAAACTCACGCCCACCACTTTCCCACGGAGTGAGGATTCGCAGTGGCATAGGTGTCCACGCCTCTTCACGATTTAGTACATGGATATAAGGAAACACATGCAATGAAGACGTTCCCACACGCTACGACTGCAAGCAGTGGCAAAATCCACACAAGGCTCTTAGAGGACTCCACACGACTATAAACCATTTCTGGAGAAAATCGCCAATTGTTCTACAACGCATAGTTTTCTACGGAGAATATTTTTATGTCTCCCATGTAAAAGGAAAAAATACGTGGGACTGTGACATACAAGCTATTTTATCACCAAAATATCCTAACAAAGCCGTTTGGCTTTCACTACTCACCGTTTAGTCATTTGTACCACTTGACAATATCGGAGAATGTTTGATAATGACAAGGGCAGCCTTACAAGACAGACAGTGGGGTGATAGCCAACCCACCTTTTAAATGGACTGCTAGACTGGATTTTGTCGGTAGTGTATTTGCCAGCGTGAACAGCTGCTTCCACCAGACGGTCACATCGTCTCTCTCCCACATTTTGGAGACTTTTATGCTCAATCACCGTCAATAAAAATGGTTATGACATAAAGGCAGGCGATTCATTCCCAAGACTTTGTCTCTCACTAAACATTCTTGAGGCAGTATCTCTTGCTGTTTATGCAAGGCACCTTCAAGCCTTGCTTCCGTTGAATGTGTCAATGGAATTGTTGACCAATCAAAAGGGCGATGCAACTTTGTTTACTTGGAGGAAGGAGGCTGGAGCCTTGGCTGTCCTTTTGATCTTTTGAAGTTGAGTTACTTGCCAAACAACACTGTCATTAGAGGCATTGTGAAGGGCTGCTTTTATCACCACCTTTCATTTTTACGCCTAATGGCCCAATTGATGTTGGAAGCTGTGCAGAAGGATGTGCACACTTAATGACCGAAGGCGAATTTGTCGTTTAACATTTGTTGACCCAGGCGTTGATTATCCCCTGTTCCAGCTCACAATACCTGTTTTGCACTCTTAAAAGAGAACCACCATCGAAGCTGGGCGCACTATCCCCCTTTGTGCCTATTTTTTAAGAATAGAATTTAGAAAATGGAAAATATCTTCTTTTGTGTTGACGTTGACTAAATAGAAGTTCATCTACTTTGTCTTGACGAAATAAAGAAGGGGCTATTGAATGCTATGAAATGATATTTGTTGGATGAAGAAGGGAAATTAGCGCTTTTATTGTTAATAAAACTTTTTCCTTTGATGATGCGGGGACCTTAGGCACCACTCTTAAACTCTTAGCCTAGCAATGCGTTCCTCGCGTTCTTCAACCCTTTCAACAGCTGTCCGGGTAGCGACACTGACGACGACATTAGCACAGGCAGCATTAATATTTTGATGCCAGGTCGTTCGGGATGTCTGAAACAACTTCTTGCCATGGCTAAAAGTTAAACACTAAATTTAAAGTCTCATTTGCAACTTATTCCATGACAGTATGTCTGTGTTGGTAGTCCCAAGGGCTTCGCATACGTCTCTTTCCATGGCGAGCGAAGCCTCGAAGAAGTGCTTGTCTCTGCTAAAACAGTTCCGACAATTCTTTTGGTAGAAATCCCACCCCAATTGCATTTTTGTGTACTTTTTAAAATCCCTATTACCACCCACAAGGTTACCACAAGACTTTTGCCAAGAAGGAGGGCCAAATCTCTTGACATAAATGTCTCCTTTCATTGCACTAACGTGAGACTCACTTGATTTATGCGTTTGCTTGATGGGTTGTAACCACCCGCATGCTTTCCACCTCCCACCTTGTAGATCTGCGTCAGTATTGACGAGAACACGGTCTTTTTTCAATCCCTCAGTTTTGATAAAATTAGGCCAGGATTCCTCGAAATTCAGCACGTTGTCCTTGGATTCCTTCCCTCGACATCCGTCAATCACGAAGCATTCCGAGGTCAAATTAGACGCGTAAGTTAATTTAAAAGTTGTTTTTTTACTTTTAATTTCTGTGTGAGATCACAATACACATTTACATTCTTTTTACGGATATTATGATGCCTTTGATCTTACCTAACCTGCGGATTCCATGATCTTTTGGTCAAATGAAGGCAGCTTTACGCCACCACTCTTATTGGGGAACAAAGAAATGGTGGAGCTTCTGCTTTCTTTGGAACCCTTTTTGAACTATGTCTTTCTGATAGCAGAGATCTGACCAAAGAAACAACTTTTGACTTTGTTTTACCTTCTAAGTGAACAGAACAAAGTGATTAATGGGAACACTGTGATGTCACTTGTGTTGCATACCAGACTGCTGCTGACAAATCAAGATGAACATTGCACATTCACCAAATGGTGTGCTGACTCCACCTTCACCCAACTGTTGGCCTGTCCTACGGACTTACATGAGCTGGAAAAAAGTTTAAAAGTTGTTTTTGCCTATGCCTCGTTTTTTTACACCCTACGCCATGCTAACAAGTTAGTCGGAGCTCTGTCAAACTTTTTTTCCCCCAAAAGTGGTCAATCGGGGTGAATTGGGCAAATAATTTACCTTAAATTAGTGCTGTACCACTTTAATTCAGTAATAGTGTAAAAATTTTATCCAAAAGGCGTCTTAAGTACTGCTTTATGCAACAAATGATCTGCCATCTTAAAAAATGTGTTGATTGACAGGCTATCCTGCAGGTTGATGATACAACCCTCAACATCCTTCATTTCGCTGAAAACTCTCTTCATGGCTTTGAATTTACGGGTGCCCGTCCAACCGAGTGTGTGGCTAAATCTGCTTTATTCCCCTCAGTCTCACTTCGTCGGGTTTACTTACTCATTCGTCTTCCTTCGCCGTCGAGAAACTTGACACCTCCACCATTGTTTAACAGACTACCGACGTATGCAGGTCGCATCCATGACTGGCAGCAAATTGAAATTGACTTCAACTCTCATTCGAAAGATGCTCTCCTCTTCCTCCTGTTTTGCCGACTGGAAGAGTTTCCAAATTCATTCTTAAGCGTGGAATTTCGAGATGGAAATCCCTGGTTAGTAACCCAGAAGCAGTCACTAGAGGTACGTGCCAAAATGACCAATATTTTGCGGGTCGGAGTTGGCAAAATTACTATTCCCGGACGGCATGAAGCGGTGATTATTGCAGTTGGTTACGCCTCATTTGAATACTTTGTGGCTATTGATGGAGATGAATTTCGACCGGCTTTTGAGGCAGAGGTGGCGGGTGTGTTGGAGTCTGCTACAGAAAGCTACGACAGTAAACCACCCTTTGGCAGAAACCTTCTTCTGGGGGGCACCAACTGGACTGCGGAGGAGGAACTCGGTCGAGGTCTTCAGCACCTTTGGAGTGGTTTAGGCAGAAGGAAGCAATTCAATGGATGTATTCGTCGGTACGTAGTGTTATTGTGTTGCCTTCGTGAGCCTCATGAGACTAAAAAGCCTCTATGTTCCTTTTGATAAGTGACATTCGTAGCCCACTTGCCTTCCACCACCTCCTATAGTGTTTCATAGAAAAGTTTAGATACCTCGTTAGTATGTGGAAAGGTTGCATGCTTCGTGGTGGGGATTTGTTTGCTAAAGCTTCAAATAACCCCACTTTTGATTCTCCATCTCTGCATCTTATTACATCTACTAGTTAATTCAACTAACTGCAACGTTGGCACGTTCGAGTAAAAAGACCGAAGACATATGAGACCTACTTTTCTTAATTTATTTTTCCCTCCAATTCTTATTTTTGTTTACACCACGTGGCATTAAGCTCTCCGGAACTCAAATTTCATTTGTGACTAAATACTTGCCACCCTATTTGTAAAGCCATACCACTGCCCTCGCAATTTCCCTTTTCAGCCTCCTCATTTATTTTCCAGGTCAATAAAATAATATAAAAATAGGTGATACAAAGGTAGAGAAGACTTGATTTTGTTCTTAATAGCGAGTGAACCAGAGGATCAGAGGGGCATCAGAGCTGAATACTGCTGGTTCCCTCAACTTCATCAGTCAAAATTTGAAGAAATAAATTTGGATTATGCGAATTGGTCCCTTTCACACCGGTTATAGATCGCATGAAGGAAACAGTTCGAATAAATATGAATTATTTATTAATAAGGCGTGAAATCTCTGCATGACAAAGTATGAGGGAACCTCCACTCTAGCTAACACCTCCACGGTCACCTCATTTTAACCAGTTCGTGGGATGATAATGTAATTTAGCACTTTAAATTAGGGCGTGAACCACAGACCGGTAAATTAAAAGCAGCATGTAAAAGGTTTCAACGACAACCTCTCTGAGTAGTTTATGGGCAGCACTTCCATGATTATTTATTGCTCCTTTCATGCTGACTTACGGAATATGTATTCCAGCTTTTGTGTTAACATATTTTTTTTCGTGAGAATAAGCCCACTGAAGTCTCCAACTTCTTTGTGGTTTATGGTCTCAGCTGTATGGCTTACTTCCAATCGCCTTAGGTATGAAGGAGGGATGTAAAGAAGGTTAGACGCAATAGTAAAGTTAATTTTCTTTCTGGTGGTATCATTCCTTGGTGGTTGTAAATCCATGTGGCAATAAAAAATATGATGCTGTTGAACAAAGTCATTTTTTTGGACAGATGTGTGATTGATTGCAGTAAAAATGAAATTCCAATGTCACCCAGAGACCAAATAACTGCTTGGAAACAGTTTTTTGTGTGTAAATGTTCCACTGTACCGTCCGTTCTTTTTTAACCATGGTTTTGGTTTAGAGTGGAGAAGGTGAAGTATCCACGCTGTCAGTACGATGTCAGACGCAAAAAAATACAGTAAAAGGAGAGAAGATAATCAGTAAAGTTGGTGAGAGTAGATATTGTACCTGAAGGCTTTCTGCCTTGTTCGAGAGTTTAAAACCCATGACCCTTTAAAAAAATGACTAATATGCTTAAACAATAGAAAGCAGACTTAGGACAAGAATGGCATCACATTGTAAAACTTCTTCGCTATTATAAGCCTTTGAGTCAGAATATTTTCTTCCTCCTTGTCAATGGAAGGTCATTTTTAGCTTAAAATGGCAAAGCGATTATTGAAAGGAAGTTGATTTCTAAGTTGACTCATAAAAAGGAAATAAATGTCGCCACGCAGTCTTTGACTCATTGCGTCTCGCACCTTCCACCAGCAATTTCAAATATTTATCGTCCCTTCTGCTGGCAATCTGATGCTATAAATGTATGTCTTGTGGTCTGCACCCTTGTATCACGTAATAATGTGTTTTCGAAGGTAGTTTTTAAGTTCCAAAGCCGTTTCGCAGGCCCCACCGAGCTCAAACGGATTTACCCGCCATTGCGATACCCAAGGTCAAGACTAGCCTATTCACTCAACATAACTTTTCCATTATTAATTAGCTTGAATTAAGCGCTCCACTAATGCAAGTCATTGCGTAGCTTTTAAATTTTAAATTTTGTCTTGATTTTTAAATTTTAATCTTATGAGAAAAATATTGTTGCTAGTAATGGCGTTGTTGCTCAGAGGGAACTTTGGTAGACTTCCTGATTCTGTGCGTCCATCCTGCTTCATTAAGTGACGCGATTTACACTTTCGACAACTAAATCGCTAGAGATATAATCAAAAGTTATTATTTTGATGCCTTCTTTTATGCTAAAATTTAGCAATTATAGAGCAAACAAGAGCAGTTGACAAAGGTACGCTATTTTTCAGGAAGGCCTTTAGGCTTCCCTTGGTCCCAGCATAATTAAGTAGCAACAAGTCCACCAAGGAGCTGAGATAGAAGACAGTTAAATATACAACAAAAGTTTGATATCACATATTTTGCTTCAGCTTTAGCAATCACTTGTACAGTCGGATGAGGTGTGGAGTTTTAAATATGCCTTCATAAATCAGAGAGGATGCAAAGCATTCATAAATAAAGAGTCACGACTATCCTCTGCTTACACCACACTTTTAACAGGGTTTTCTTTGTATTCGAATCATTTCTTTACCCTACCATTCCGTTAGTTGATTAGTAGTTAATATGATCCCTTTATTTAGAATTTGTGCCTTTGTGAGGCTTGATCCAAGGTGTTCAGTTTGTGTTATTTGCACCGCCATTTCTTAAGTGGCACTTCGCTTTCGTCTTGACGGGAGAAAACTTTTGGGATCGTCACTTATGCCCTTTAAGTTTACCAACGTCAATTCCACATTTTTTAGTAAGAGTTTAGGCTTTAGTCCGTTTTAGATCCTTTTTTTACCTTTGTTTGCCCATTCTCATTCTTCGACATATTACGTGTTTACTTAAGCAGCTTCATTCGCACAATTCCATTGAACTCTAAAGTTTTTTCTGCCTTTTTCAACAAGCTCGGTCATGGTGGCACTTCGCAGTGCATTTCATTTGAGGGGATCAGTTTCAAATTTTTCAATTTACTCATAAATGAACACATCAAATGAACTCACAGTTTACAAATCACAAGCCTCCACCCTCCTCATTGCTATGGTTGTTTTTGAAGGCCAGAGGGCAGCTAGACCGAGGCGCTTACGTGATGAGTCCTCAGGTTTTGTTTTCATTCATTGGGAGTGGGGGTGGGGAGGGGGGAGGGAGGAGAGAGAGTTGTGGGGAAGAGGAAGGTGTAAAATGTCGGCCACTTCTATAAGGGCTGTACTTAATTTTATGGCTCTTCAACTCCCTTTTCCTCCAAAAACATTGCTAGTTTTTGTTCAGACCTATAGTGATGCTATCAATGCCTTTATCAGTGGAAGGTCTACATGTCTGCCAAGTCGGCATCGTAATGTACTGATCACATCGCGACTTATCACGATTGACGGAAGGTGCACTGTAAATAAATTTGGGGCACTTCTACCCTCGTCCTAGTCGTGTTGGCTCTAGCATCTCTCTTTCCCATGTCAAATTTAATGCCAAATGTTTCATACGACCAGGTATTACCTCATTTGGCTCAGATTCCGTCCATCGTCACAGTCACTATCCATGCGAATAAAGACAGGGAGCGGATATGTGTGTGCCGAACCCAGACATTGGAAAGTGAAGCAGTCATAAGTAGTATCATTCAGGATAAATCCTTTGCTCTGTTTTTGCTAGCAGCATTCCTTTATGCATGCCTTTTATACATTTCATAACCGCACTACTTCTTGTTTCTCCACTAATTCCAAATCTCGTGGAGAATGGACCTCGACTAACGTATTAGTAACCTTTAGCCAAAAAAAGATGAGCACCGCCATAAGGAATGCTATCCTTACCTATGGCTGAACCGTTAAATTGAATTTCAGCCTTCCACTCCTGACCGATCCAGTCTGCCAACAAGTGAAACTGCTTAAAAGTCAAACTTGGTATTAAAAAGTCATATTTTGGTTTGATTTGGGTGATAAGTCCTGCAGTTCGAAGAGCTTTGACATCTTCAAACTTCAGTTTCCATTGACGTCCGGTTTGTTTCATTGAGCAATAAGAGGAGAGTTTCCTTTTCTCCATGTTCACAACGTTCGGATTAGCGCATGGGCTTTGGCACCCGAATAGAGTCGAACGGTACGGGACTGTGGCATTTGAAAGGTGATAATTTCTTATTCAAGGCGTCCATCATAAAAGCATCGTCCGCCAATTATTTTCCTCCTACTTAATTTTCAAACTTGAGATGCATAAGCCTATTAAAGGTTTTTTTTGAAAGCGTTATGACTTACTTTAGAGTCAAAAGACGTACGGCGGCTGACAGACACTCCTTCACTCATTCCATATTTCATAAATTGTCAAGTTAAGGACGAAACCCCACATTGATGGCCTTGACTTTGTTTCAGTCCCAAACACCGGTAACTTTTGAGATCGGAATGTCCACTCTCTGACTTACGACTCTACAGATCCGTTGGTTCGGATCGCCTTAATTTTTAACGATATGAAAACATGTTAGCTAGTCTAGGCTGTGCAATCAACAATTTTATGAATTTTTAATCCAAAAAAGTAATTTTAAATGTACTGTCAAAATCAGCATAAAAGTTAGGTTTAAGCAATTCTAGACTTTAAATTTGCCTATTCACAACCACTTCATTGCACATTAATTTGTTTTTAAGGATGGCGATGAGGTCTGTAATTTTGCCACCAAATGCCTCCTTTAGACAACTCTCAAGCTGCCGCAGAGATGCCTCCTAAATCCTCTAAAAATAATGTATTATATATAAAGGGCTTGTGTTTCCGTACTCTCTGATCACAGAAAAGTACTTCATTTTCAACTTTTCTATGTTTGCACACTGTCGTCATGAGGACTCGTGGTCCATAAATTGTCGCATTTTGAAGTCATTACGAAAAGACGCCACAAGAGAACACTGTAATAAATTACCTTTTGTTGCAAGTTTATAAGTGCCTCATCTCCCCCTGCCCTGGAATTGGAGTTGTGACAACACAATAGTAGTCGAACACCAGCGGTGGTGTGTTTGGCAGAGTTCTGCAAGAACTCGGTGGTTACCGTAGTGTTGCAATAGATAAGGGGGTAGAAAATTTGGTGATTAGGAGCGGTGGAGGAGGTTTTGAAGTTCTGACTAACTACATCCGCTCGTAACACTTGTGGTTGCCGAGCAGACAAAACCACTTATACTTCCGTCTATTGTCTAAAAGCCGCCTTGCTCAAGGTGAATGGAAACCAGACAATGGGATTAGCAAATAACCACTCAAACACCACCACTTGGTCTGACAGGCGTGAAGAAACAGACGTCAGTCCTCGAGCTGAAAATGCAGGCGGTTGGAAGCTCAACCACACCCCTGCGTTGCGGGGCTCTGAGTCAGTCTGAAGTCCTCCAAGCAGCTGCAAAACTGGCAGCGCATTTAAGCACCTCAACGACACCGACTATTCGGCTTGGAGGTTTATATTTTACTATTCAAAAGTTTTCTTCATTTGCTTGTATAAAATCGCCGTTTTGAATTTGACCATGATTTGGTCACTTGTCACTTAGAGCCCCCAAAACGAGGGCTACACACATTCACGCCAGCTCCCTTCTCAGAACTGGACTAGACTGACGTTAGCCTTTCTCAATGCGGTCAAAGTTTATCCTGGATTTTGTGAGCCACAATTGGGGAAAAGTGCCATTTTAGGGATTTTCACCTCTCTACGTCGCTGTATGGCAGCATAGTTAAGAGCGAAAATTTTGGTTTAATAATGCATGAAATTTTCAGCATTTGCAGCACCTACAAAATTATCACACTTCTCTATTGTCATTTGCCCAACTGTCTGCTACATTCCCAGTTTTGGAGGCATCCAACATCGTGTCAGAGAAATTAGTAAAGAAATGATAGCCGATGTGATTGGCTTGGTGATTTTATTTTCCATTTCGCGTCCCCCACAATCATGCAATGAGTACACAAAGTGCCATGGTTTAAGCCTTTTTTTCTGAGTACTTTCCCACACTTTTTTGAGACTTGACTGCATCTGATTAATTACAATGCCTAAAAGGCACTTTTCAACAAATATGGATGTCTTTTGGGCAAAATACAAAAGAGTTTGTATGGACTTTGTCATTGTCGATGGATAACACTGAATTCCTATTTTATTTGCCTTGTAAAAATAGCCTAAAATTGAACGGAGAAGTGGTCGACTTTGAGCCAATAGTTCGCTCACGTCTAAGGCACCGACCGTTGAAGGGAAGTCAACAACTCCACGTAGGTTGCCAGTCGTCCACCGCCTGTCTCTGTCAAAACGGCGGAGCGTGTGTGGATGGCGAATGCAACTGTTTGGCGACAGCGTTCAGTGGAGAGCTTTGCCACATTCGTGAGTTCATTCCTTTTAAAAGTAAAAGTGCACAAATGATTAATTAAAGGGCAGAAAATTGAAACTTGATCTGTTTAAACTAAACGCTCACCACTCAACTCAGTTAACGCCACTTTTTTTGTTTGAATCGATGTTTCGAATGACGCCAGATTTCAGACATTCGGCGTAATTTTTGGGGACCTGTAGGTCGACATAAAATTGCGAGCATGAGTTGAAATATGCCTTTTTAGGGAAACCTTAAAATGTCCCCCTTAAAAGCATATTTGAACGCACCAAAGATTGTTGGGTTAATTTACTGACAAATTTTGTTAGTATCGAACGAACTTCCAATGTCTCCAACACTTCCACATCTAGCATTGGAAGACAAACAATCTTCCTCACAATGACTGTATAAAAGGTTTTTCGTGCTTGACTTTTCTTGCAATGTCACCTGAAGCTGATTTCTGTTACCTTTAGGTGGTCTTCATGTTTAATGCAAAACCTTTTCTCTCTTTGTCTCCAGATGCTCGTCCAAAAATCCAACAAACAGGCTGACAGGATGATATGTACCCATCTAAAAGTTGTTTTCCCCTCCTTTTGAGGTTAAATGTCGCCCTAGACACGCAGCAAATCGTAAAAGAAGGACAATATGGGACAGTTAATCTTTGTGCATACATTTATGCCCCGTTTTTTTTGTTGCACAGACTCGAGGGATGTCTGTACAGCAGCTTCTCCACACTGTTTTATTCAAATTTGGAGCAGTGAGGTCGAGAGAACTGTAGGATGGCCATTTTTTTGTTGTGGGATAATAAGGATTAAGACGTTTCTTTAAATAATTAAGAAGGCAATAAAAAACTCTCATAAAGAGTCTTGATATATTTATGGGAACATGGCATGAAGTGCTCTCCGTTCGTCCCCGCTCCAAGCGCCTCGTCCTTTTTCTTCTCCACCTCCGCACTGACAATGGCATTAGGCTGTACGGTCCTGCTTCACCACTCAAAGTTGACATTCAAAGTAATGTGGAGAAGTAATTGCAACTTCCTTTACAAAGTCGTTTTGCATTTGGCAGCAACAAATGTCCACCTTCACCAGAGCACCGTAACATCAATGCCATGTTCTTGGGAATTGTTATGCCGTATAGCCCAAAATAGTCGTAAAGATAAAGGGAACAAGTCCCTTTATTGGCCCTTTAAGATTTATGGTTCAGTAAAAATGAGAGCGACATCTGAAAGCCATGAGGCAATTGAAGAGTAAATCTAACCGAGGCGAGAAATTGGAAGGCGCTAGTTTGAGCATTCATGAGTAGGGAACTTTGAGATTTCCTCAAATTCTCTTCCCTTAAGGCTTAGCAATTAATCAGTGGATGTCAGGAGTCTTCCTCCAGTCATTGTGCATCACCATTTATGACGAGGGCGAATGCCATAAACCATTTAAGACACCGTTAATCAGAATGATAGGCAAAAGGTCATAAAATCCACAAATGTCTACCTTTGAGGGAGAAATGGGGGTGGTATTTGGGCACTGATAAGATATTCAGCCAGTGCTTATGACGCGGGGACTTCCATCTCATAGATCGGAGTTGATCCGCGGATTTCGGGGGGATAAAATGAAACGTAAATATCGGAGGATCGACAAGGTGCAAAAGCTCAGTAATAATTTATCCATTTGTATGCAATATTTAATGAAAATGCGATGATAATTCATAATATAGGTGCTTCTTCGACTCCCTCTTAAAGCCGCAAGGATCTTGGAGTTCGACAAAAAGCATCAATTGCGATTACGATTTCCACTGCCGCATCGACTTGAATCGACAGAGATTCAGTTCGCCTTCAAAACACGGACTCGCAATACCACCATTCTCTCCTCCTATTCTCAAGGATCTTTTGTCCCCATGGCACAATTTTTCAATGTCATCCAACCTGATGGAATTCGTGTGGACCTTGTGGATGGACTTCCAGTTGTTATGGTGATGTTAGACGGTAGAGAAAATGTTAGTCTTGGACGAAATTTTAACACATTTATTAATCCCTTCCCATCCACAATGTTTAAGCATGTCCAAGTTGGTCTACAGTCTGGCAGCTCTTCTACCTGTCAAAGGTGTGCGTCACTACTCTTTTCCGTTGTGTTGACACTTTCCACACTGAGCCACTTTATGACCGTCAGGTCGAGTTGAAACATTTATGCATTTTGCTAAGTTTTGTTTTGCCTTTTTAACAATTGCGCCCTTTGGTTCCTCTTTACACCTCCAAACATGATCGCGAAAGCCCTTCCCTGGGGCTCTGTTTGCCAGTGTAAAATGCAAGGCTTGAGGAGCAACGAATGGATAGAAGTCTGGTGTAAGTTCACACCTATCAACAGAGCTAAACAACATGGAAAGCATTCCCAAATCCTATAAAGAATCCTCCACAATGGGGTCGCATGCCCTAGACAGAGAAGAATCGAGAACTTGTCCCGAAAAGCCCTTTCTTAAAGGCAACGAGGATGTGGACTTTGTGTAATCATCAGTAAATTCTGTTTTTGTTTTTTAATAAGAGTAAGGTTTAACAAATCATGTCGATGAACACTTACGATCTGTGAGGTGTCCAAGATCGCGAGTCGTAATTGAAACCTCGTCGAGGTGAGTCCAAAAGGACTCCCTCCCGTGTTGCAATGAAATGGAAAAGTTATTGTTTCCTTTCAGAAGTTGAAAATTGCAGATCAAGTGGCCAATGATGAGTGGCATGCATTGCGTATTCTGCGAACCGCCTCCCTACTGCGAGTTCATTTGGATGAAAAAGTTTATGAAAAAGGTGAGATCTCTTCGTCTGCCAAAATGCACAGTCTCGTCTTTTTTCTCCTCTTTTTCTATTTCCTCGGCCTTTTTTTTCGCTCTCCTTCCCTCCTTCTGTTTGTTTCACTGTACACCTACGCACTCATTGTGGCAGTAAGTTGCACCGCTCGTTTTGTTCCGACTTCACCTTATCTGTTTACACAAAATGCACATTTGTATATCTTGTTTGTCATTTTAGGTGGGTAATATTGTCAAAAAAAACACTTCATGGTAAAGACGTTTTTTTTTCAAGACGAAGTAGAGCTGACTGCCCGTTCGCGATGTTCTTTGCCTTGCGATATCACATGTTAGCTCCGAAGGCATCGGTCTGAGTTGTTTGTTTGAAGCTCTTTTTTACGCAGCTTACAACGGTGTTTTTTTTTTTGGGAACAAAAATTTGTGAGTGTGTTGTGACCTCAAGAGACAGAAGGTGGTATTGTTGGTGGACCACATTACAATTGGAGAACTTCAGCGGTGTAGCATCGTGTACGTGCCAGAGATGATGACGCCACCTTGGCACAGGCACCAACTTCCACCACCGCCAAAATGACGAGGGTGGCATCCTCTTTAAGACCGATCCACGCTACAACATAAAGCTGAGAAATTTTGTGGACATTCCCTCCTTCTCAATGATGATGACGACGGAATCGGTGACAAATTGAGGCAGATTTTTGTGCCAGAACGATTGCATGTAACTTTTTTTTTATATAAAATGCAAAAATTTAGATCAACCTCTGTCGACCGAGGAATGCGAATCAGCTGCACCAAAATAATTGAAAGATTTGTATCTTCTAAATTACCTTTTTTGCTACCAGACTGTGGACAAATGAATGCCTCCTTCACCTCTGAGAAGCTGGAAGGAGACGGCTTTCCTTTCTTCCAAAATTTAGGTTAAGCGTCAAACTTGGGGTTGTCGGCTACCTTTACAACTCGGCACATTTAATGAACTGAATTGAAGAGAGTGAGAGAAAGAGGGAGAAAATGCAATTGAAAGTGAATTCCCCTCTTTTGTCAAATTTTACTTCAGGTGATCCACTTCGTGACTTAAAATTCCAACTGTTGCTGCCTCATTTCGAAGTTTCTTCACTTGGGCTAAACCTTGTTGTGGATGCCTTATGGCCGTGGAAGCCACAGTCACGATATGACATTGGTTAAAACGGTCCGTAAATACCCGAAAATTGCCCAAAATTTTTTCCAAGCTGGGAGAAGTTTTAATCACGTCAAAGTATCACTTTTCTTGGGATCAAGGGTGACATTGTTAACGGTTATGCCAACTTATCTTCCCCTCGCATGTCCCCAAGGGGACAAAACAAACGATCCAAAAGAGGTATGAGGAGAGACGAGGGGCATCGCAGTCAAAGACTGACATAGTTGGATTTGAATAAAGGAACCGTGCAAAGGTTAGCCCTAAAGGCAGGTCAAAGGGGCTTTGGAGTCACTACAAACAATGGAAAATAAAAGAGAGTTAAATTCAATAACTTCGTACTATTTAATTGTGTCTTCAGATCGTGTCAGTAGGTCTCACGCTTCTTTGGAGCATCGACAAGTAGCTTGCTGGTGATTTGCATGTAATTGTAGCCTGTCCGGCGGTGTTATTTTTAGTACTTTCGAAAAGCTCAAATAGTATCCATCAATGGGAAACGATTCACTGTTCCATTTTGCGAGGAAATATACTTCATGGAGAGAAAAAAAATTCCATAACACTTCCTTCTACAACAATCTGCTTGTCAAAATGACGCAAACTTAGTGACCAAACCTCACCATTAGCCCAAATGCCTTTAGAATGGTTCTAGAAGAGTGTGTGACGCTTTTAAATGATGGCAAAAAGATGTATTACAATTTTCCTTTTGTTAGCCTAACTAACTGTCAAGGATGAATACCTTTTCTTACCTTTTCCCCCCTATTAACGGATTTCGAGATTTGGCTTTTGTCAGGCAGCATCAAACAAAATCTGATAAGGCTTTGCCCCATTCATTTGATGGTTGACAGCTTGACAATTCTAAGACAGCTAATTTGAGGTATTTTTTTTTAATGTCAAAACTCCAAATCCCGATGCATTTACCACAAAGGCATGGTGAAGTGGCGTTAACATCTTTGCACTTTTGAATTCGATTTATGGCAAGACAAATGGCCTTTGCAATGCCCTGCAATTTTCTCATCCCCATTGCCACTGTCATTGAGGTGCTTCAGAATAACAAGCCTAAACGAGGAAATAAATGACTCGTTTCAAGCAGAGTGAACAATGATGTAGTTGCAACTCCGACACGAGTATTTCGAAACTCAAGGCCTAGTTTAGGGAAATTCGTTATCATCTTTTCTCGAAAAGGTGTTCAATGGGGAAAAGTGACATTGTTGAACCTTTTGTGGTCCACGAAGTGTTCACAATTCCAGCTGTCATATGTACTTCGGATCTGCAAATCTTGTGCAAGTTAACACGAGAGAATCAAGACAAAGCCATCGATTGGAAGCAAATTTTAGAAATCCCAATTCCTATTCCACCTATTTTAAAGGGGGAACGACTTATTCGATTTAAGTAGTATCTGACATTTCGTGTCCTTATATTGTGAACATTGTATCTATTTCCGTTGGTTTATTCTGTATCACAGATGTTAACAACTTAAGAGGAAGTCAAAGATTTATCGACACTGAATAAGTTCCACGAATTTGACTCCTTGAACTGTCTATCAACTTTTCCAATGAAAACTTATCCTGACGGCGGACCTGCATTGCTTAAGCCTAAGGATACTTTCTGCCAAGAATCCTAATGTCCTCGACGAGCGAGGGTGTGTGTGTGTATGTTTATTGAAAGCGGCTGAACCAGAATTCAACAGTGCGAATGCGTGCGCTTTATTTTTTGTCTTGCTAGGATTGCCAGAAGGCGGATATCAATGGCAGACGGAGAATGAGACAACGATTTATGTTTGTCTCGGTGGCACTGATGCTACACACCAATTGGAGGGTAAATTTCCTTTTCCATTCCTTCTTTGCAAAAAAAAATACTCAAGCAGCTCTTCCATTCTTTTTGCTTCCTTCGTCTATTGTTCGTCGCACATATGCACCCTTTGTTGTGCTCTATTTTTCTCTGTTGTTTGTAAGATCTGTCGAATCGTGACTTTCTGATGAAAAGAAACACTTGTTTCTGTTACCATTTCAGTTCTCGAGGTGAGAAACGTGATGATGCGCGTTCAGGAGATCAAAGTTGGCCAAAAGTCAACCACCATCACTTCACCCTTTATTGGTCAAATTCGACACTTTACATTCAATGGAGTGGATCCGCTTGCAGAGCCCGAATACCTCGTTGAAACGCCTCAGTTAAAGGTGGCGCCTCCGGTCCTCCTTATGGACGTTCAGCCGGCAATAACTCTTAAGACTCCGGACTGCTTTTTGCGTCTACCACGATTGAATATCTACGGCGCCTTTCAATTAGTGTTTGCGTTGAAGACATATCAAGAAGACGGTGTGGTGTTGTTCAACTCTGGAGGCGGTGATTTTCTTGCGGTAGAGCTTGTACGAACTCAGCTAACCATCTCCTTTGATATGGGTCATGGGGCCACTCTTCAGCATCAAAGAATTGGACGAGGATTCCTAAGCGATGGAAACTGGCATCAGATTATTATTTCGAGGTGGGTTTCTTGTCTTGTCCTGCTTTGCATTTTAATTACAATTCTCGAGCTCATACAAAACTTGATTGTATCAATTTTGGGCTAAATTTGGAGAATATAAAAATGCAGCCACCAATCCTAGAAAAGGCTTCTTCACCTCATAAAAGTACCATTAAAAGAGATTCTCATGTATTTGCAATCGAGAACTTTCCGCGACCTTCTGGTCTAAGTGTTCCTTCACCTCAGTACCGCCCTCACATTACCTGTACCGACCGAAGGAAAGAGGAGAGTGTTTTGACAGCCAACTCGCATAATTATTTCTGACTTTTTTTGCATTTAGCAAACTGGGAAAATAATTATTGCTGTGCAAAACTGGGAGACATGAGAGCTGAGGTGTTCAATGAGATCTCTGGGTGTGGGCATCACTATAGTCACCGAGTGTGCCTTCCTTTTGGCCATTTGTTCCATCCCGGCACCTCGATGCCATTGTTTGTCTTGTTTTGCACAATCAGAGAAGCATTTCTGTGTTGGCATGAAAGTGGGCGGCACTGCGTCAGTCTGGTGAAGAGGATGGCACCACGACATAAAAAATCATTCTACGAGTAGTTAAGGAAAAGGAACGCAGGGCAATCTTTTGGTGTGACTGTGTCTTTTCATCAGATACAAACTCATTCAAATAAGGAAAATTGGAGGATGCAGTGAAAAAATAGGTCATTTTAATGCTTCTGTTTGGGATAGCATCTGCATGAAAAGGAGGAAAGTGTAATGTGACACACCTTGCGGAATGGGATTTTCCTTTTGTAACCTCTCTCGTCTCCCTCTCCCTTGGTGTGCCTGTGGTCGGCGGAGAAGATGACGTCTAGCGTCAGTACTTCATGCATGTGCATCACTCCCATCATTATTATCATCACCATCAGCAGTATTATTTAGAAGCTGAATAAAATGAAGGAGAAACTCGGGCGATGAACCTCGATGGAGACCAGAAGGCGGTGTGGTGTTGCAGTTAGTTCTTCAGACATTTAAGTCCTCATAATTGGGCTGCAGACCAAATGGAAGGTCTTCAAGCCCTTCTACAACTTGTTCACCAACAGTTCTTGATAGCTCCACTGGCAGAAATCTTTGTTTAAGTCCTTTGTCCTTTGTTTAAGCTGAAAGTAATAAGTAGTGGGGAAATTAAGACGAAGCTGGGGAGGAAAAATTTAAAAAGAATTCAGTGAGATGTATCATTGTTCAAAAACGCAATCTTTCCAACAAAGAAATGACTTTTAAAAGTCAGCAGATTTGTAGAAAGCAATTACTGACCGTAGATTTCGTATGCAGGACTAAAATGGAATCACAATGTCCCTGTTCCTTAGAAAGAGGAAATCTTAACAGGAGATACTACTGGTTAAAGTCTCACTGAGGACTTCCAATGGAACTAAATAATCTTCTACAATAAATCACTCCAATATGCAGGTAAATGTAGAAGGTCAGAGAATGATTTGCCCTTTCCTCGGTATCGCCTACTCATTCAAGGCTCCACCAAAAGTTAATACATCTTTTCCATAACTGCCTCATTCATTCACTGTGCAGGTAATCAAACCTCCCAAAGGGCGACACCTCCATTCCAAAGCATGAAGTATAAAAGTAGCACCCCTAGCAGTGACAGACGTCTCTGAAGACGCTGAACATGCATTGAAGTCGTAGGAAAGGGTTGAAGGGTTTCTTCCACCATCTCTGAGGCCATGCCTACCGGTGCCGAGACTTCGACATTACCGTTAGCAGTCGCTAGATTTTCACTTTAACTTGATGTGACTTCAGACAAAAACTATGTCGTGCTTAGCGACTAAATCAAGATTCTGGTAAGCACGACCTCCAACTCACTACATCCTCAAAGAATTTTGGACAATAGAACAAACATTCTAGTAACTCAATCACACAGCTCAAAATGAACTTTCCTCCATTTCTCCCACACTTTAATTGTGCATTAGAGTTATTTTTTTTTAAGGATTTTAACTTTTCGTTGTTATTGGCGAGTGGAATTGTGCCAACTCCCTATTTTATAAAGCTTTTTTATTCAGATCGCACTTTGCATATTTATGAGGTCTGCGAACTTCATTATGTTTGGGAGTTAAAACTATTGGCGAATCTGCAGATCATGCGTAGGATCACTAGTCCTGCCGAGAGACGAGGAAAGGTGCGAGGATTAGACGGAACAGGTTTCGTCGATGTTCAGAGGATCTGCGCGCTTGCAGTACTATAGTTAAATTCTATAATAAAATAAGGAGAATTTTGAGTTGTAACTTAAAATAAGGAGCTATGTGAGAAGGGAGGGAGATGTGTGTGTTCATTCAAACCATTTTTTTTGTCCACAATCCATGGGAGGGGATGAGGTTGACAAAACCATTAGGTATCTCATCACTGAGGAGGTGATTTTAAGGAGTCACCCAATGTGAATTTTGATGTTTACTTTATAATTCCTCCATTTAGCATTTTTATGTCTATTTCCAGCCAACAAATCGTGTTTGTTGCGGTAGTAAGTTCGGATTTTTTACCTTCCTCCTTAGGTGTAAGTCATCGCCGGCACCGTCATCCCTCCTTCCTTGCCTTAACACGCCTCTCCTGGACTAAAACAAGTTGCTGAATTTTTTAGTAGTGTTGTTAGTTTATCGTCCTCATTTTTTCTCCACTTGAAAGAAGTCATTATAATCTGACGATTTGCATCTTGTCGTTGCATTAAAGGCGTGAGGCGCTGTGCGGTTGCCTCATAGGCCAAACTGTTTGACGAATTGATGAAGGCGGCGTCTTGAGCAAGACCTAGTGTTTAACTAAAGGTGCTAGCAGTACAATTGCCGAGTGATTAGGCGTTTCGTCATGCCTCCTTTCATTACACTGATTGGTCTTCCTTAAAATAAGCAACAAGATCTGTACCCAAATTACCTCTCCTTACCTCCATGTGATCGTGGGTGTCTATGGTGGCTTGTGGAATATCAAGCAGTGCTCAGCCTTCACTCTTAGTTCGTGGCAGTGGTGGTGGAGAGTTGTAGTACATCATGAGGCGATTTTCCTTCTCTCTCCTCTCTCTAAAAATGCCATTTTCAGCACTCTCAATAGTGGATTATTAGAAGGAAGTTGATTCTGTGCCAATCATCGAAGCCGTCAGTTTTTCATCTTAACAGTTTTACCAAATCTTGATCTCTTTTGCCTGCATAGTGAATAGGAGAGGCGGGAAATGCGCTTTCTTCATAATGCTGGAGACTAAAGTGCTCTCCTCTAAAGCAGTTGACTTGTCTGTTACTCATCTGATGGTGTCTGTACTTCTTTTGTAGGAATCAAGTATCCACTTCTTTTCAACAGTTTCTGTAGCCTCTTTAGCAGCTCCGTTTTTATGGCCCACGGGTTATGCTTTCATACTTGCTGATGAAATTTTAGCAGATCGTAGAACCGGGGAGAGGGGAGAGGGGATGAGTGTCAAAACCGACACTTCTGTTAAGAGTCTTTGCATGTTTTCCTATCGGCAATAAATGTTCTTCCATTGTCCTACCGAAAGTCATCACCACTGCTGTCGTAAATGTAGCTTCCTCGATCCTCCTCACAGTCTTTTGAGATCTGACCACAATCAGTAATGAACTCATCGTCCGCCTAATCACTAACAGCAGCCTCCTAAAAGCTTGTTAAATAATTCCTATTGACATTTTTACAGTTCCTATCATGAATTGAAATTTAAAAAGCAGTGAGATGAAGCTACGTGACACAACTCACCTCAGCATACCCACCTACACAAATACCGAGGTGTCGAATAAAAGCCTTGGCATGGTGGACAGCGTGGGCTAAGTTAACTTCTCCGCCCAAATCCTACATTCCTCCGGATTTGGGGAAATGTGTACAGCTACTTTAATTGTCTTTACTTGTTTAAGTTGGTAGAATGTGGGTTCATTTACCATTAGTCCCGTAAACACACGCACCCGATAGTCACAAGCACTTTGCTCCTGTCAACTTTTAATGACCGCCTGAAGTTTCGAGGATGCAACTCAGGCCAAGCGACATAGGGATATGGGAGGGTGGAGAAGAGATGACATTCAGTAATTTAATTTAGTGGAACGAGAGATCGTTATAGCCTTGCTTGGAAGTCTTTGTTTTGCTTTGGAAAGAGAATATTTAATTACTGCTGTTAACATGATGGAGAAAAAGGGGTGAATTAATGTGATATTGCTTGAATTGGAGATATTAATTCAACTTGTTATTAAGGTTAAGGCAAATGCACACAATATTTGCTTCAGGAGTGGCCAAATGGATGAATTTCTGCGTGTCCAAATCAAGTCAGAATTTGGAGACGAGGAGGATCACAACCTAACCATTCCATCTATGACCACAGCCCGAAATTTCAACTTTAACGAGCCCCTCTACCTTGGTGGCATTCCCAACGAGGTGCGACTTCGTTTCTCAGAGAAAATAATCTCCAAGCATGGAATTCAGGTAAAATCTAAAGAGAAGGTTGGAATTGGCCTTGAAATTTTTGGATTCACTCTTCCACCTTAGTTTGTAATGCGGCTTAAGAGTTGCTACAATTGGTCATATGCGAGATGTGCAGAAGCCTCCTTCTTCTTCTTCTTCTTCTCCTCCTCCTCCTTGAAGGCCAGTCACGTCTATCCAGTAACAAACTTCTTAAAAGTCACACTGAGGGAAATTTATAATAAATCCCATCGAAAAGTTGGGAGCGGAAGTGGAAAAACTCAGTCAAAGGACTACTCAACACTTCATATCGAATGAGCAAAATATCATTCTTACTATCATTTGCAGCTTTCAAATTGATACGCATTTATTCGATGTACTTTAAAACTCACCTTTTACTTTTAAGGATTTTTTGCTTAAAACTTTGAAGTGCCTTTCAAAACCTCCTAAAATTTGCAAAGAATAAAATCCGATTCATCATCTCTATGCTGTGCCAGGCCCGAGGTAACTCCTTTGTTACCCTTTTTATCGGCTTTGTTTACTATCGAGAGCTCACAGCACAACTTAAAAAGTATTTCGCACATAGGGGCTAAGTATCGCGAAGAGCGATGGTTTTCACGTTACAAAGAGGGTTAGACAAAAGATTGCAGAAAGTCTGCTAAAGTTGCCCATTCCTGGCTAACTGTAGGCTACTTCGAATCGGGAAAAGTCCAAGCCAATGCATTATGCACGCTGAACACGCAATCGTTTGGAAAAAGATTTTTATAATTTTTTTGCACGATTGCCTTTATGGGCGCCAAGATTTTGCCTTTTCAAAGGCATTGCCTTATTTTGTGATTTGACCAGTGGTGCACTTCTCGATTTGCGAAAGCACTGCTGGAATGCTGAAAGCCTAAAACGTCTACCAGCCGCCTTAACGAGGGAAAATCATGGTTTACTAAATTTAGAAAACGCCACAAATACCCACTAGTTACTTAGCAGTCAACATCAGATTTTGCTACAAATCAGAATCCTTCCTCAACTTTAGCTCGACATTGTTCCTATTTTGTCCCTTAAAAATTCAAATGCCTACCAATGATATCCATTCGCTTTCTCACAGCCAAAAGCCAAACCTAGTTTCTTATTCTACTTTGCTTTTCTAAAGAATACTTCTTTAACCGATTCACATTGCTAAAACATGCCTAATATTGCATAAATTTGTCATTCCAAATTCGATCTACGCATTTTAAACCCCCTTATATTAGAAAATGAAACGTGTACATTGAGTTTATTATTAAATGCCTACTTATTGGTAATAAGTAACATTTCTTATAAGGGTTGCATTGGTGGATTTGGTGTTAACAATCAAACGCAAATGGACATTGAGGCGTTGGCAGAGGTGACAATGGGTGAAAACAGGACGAGTCCGGTATGCAAGTGGCAGGTGGTCCAGGGATGTCTGGAACGACCTGCAGATGCACCGACGTGCATTGCTTTTGCTCAACAGCGACGACTGCCCTACTGCCTCAACGGTGGTGTCTGCTTGCATGTCTGGGCGTCGCTAAGGTGCTCGTGTGAAATGACTACATTTACTGGCAATCGGTGCCACTTGCGTGAGTTTAATTTTTGCAAGAATGGCATGGCGATTCTGTCTCTGTGCTCTTGCACGCTTTGACTTTATAGGAGGTCAGTTTCAATGCTTGGACTCTACATCAATACCTTCTTAGAACCATTCTGAGAATGTTCGAAAAATTCCACCTAAACTTACTTTTGTGAGGGCAAGTTTCTTCCTATGGAAACTTGAGTAATACGCGTCTTTTAAAGCTAAGGAGTTACGCAATGCCTCATTCTTCTTCACTTCCCAACCTAACTGCTTAAAATACAAATAAAATATTTTTCAAACCTCCGATAATGAGTCACCTAAAATTGAAAACAAACACCAACGAATGTCAGACTAACAAAGTTTGTTTACGAGACGAAGTATATAGCGCCATTTAATTGCATGTCAGAATGCTTTATAACACTCCAAATTGTTCCTAAAGTTGTGTGAAGTCACGGTAGTGTGGAAAAAGGTGTATTGTTGAAGTGAAGGAGGAAAATGCAGTGAAGAATTAAGTGCCTATAACTCAAAATGCGTGATTAAACATGCCATCAAAGTAATCCCACCCAACGCCCTCTTTGGCCATCCCTCATTTGGGCCGTCATCAAGCAGTATGTACTTTCTAGATTTCAACCACAAATCGGTCATGGCATTCGTGCAAGTAAGAAGTCACCGGATAACTGCATTGCTCATCTCCTACGTCGTCGTCCCACCAAATCTGAAGCTTTTTCCTGCATTAGGGGAAAGTAAGGCTACGCTATCAACTGAACCCACTCCTAGTCAAAAGGACACCAACTACAAAGCAGAGGCACCTGACAACAGATAGAGTTTAGAGCAGTTTCGTAGAGACAAGCCCTTACGTCCTCTCCCTCTTCTTGTGTTGTCCTCACTTCAACAATGCTCATCCGTACGCCTATCTGGGTTGGATCTAGCACAAAGAGAAGTGGATTATTGTAGCGTGCTTGTGCCTCATCACCTGTTAATAGCGTTTACTCAGCATTTGTCAATGGCTGATGTCGTTTTTAACCCTCCTGGTGGAGGCCTTCAGCACCTCACTTTTACCTATCAGTTTGGATACTCCTTTATATTGACACAGTTGTAGCCTCTGGAGCTATCCATAAAATCGTAAGAAGTCATAAGAATGCTGCAGAGGTTACACAACTGACGTGCAATGAAGTGAAGCCGTTGGCATAATTCAAAGGCTGGGATGTTGAATGTTAATGCATTCTACAAAGACTGGAGTGTCTGGATAAACAGTATGGGGAGAGCTGTACTTTTAAAGATGAAAAGAAATCCCTTGAAAGTCTCCGCTACCTCCTTTGTTTTCGACTTCAGGATTTATTGTTTCCTAAGATTTAAAATTCCTTTTTGGATGGAGCATCTCCAATGACAGAGGCGGGGCTACTTCATTCCACCAGAACCATCACGTTTCGGCTTAATGCAGAAACCTTTAAGAAATGTAGAAAGACTCAAAGCAACTGTGCTATTAATTAATTAAGAAAATTTAAGTTATTCTAATGTTTCTCCCTTTTTAGCCGGAACCTCATTGAAATTTGGCACTTCCACAGGGGACAGGAGAGGAAGTGCAGCCTTTGTGAAATACACATACCTACATGATCAACAAAACACGAACCGAGAGGAGATTGCTCTGGGTCTTCAAGTTGCTCACGCGTTCTCCCCTTCTCGCTACAGTCTGCTGTATGTGGACACTAGACAGGGAAATGTCGACTTCCTTCACATCTACCTAGTAAGCACGGTGTTTGTTCACTCATCGACCTCTTTCCACAGGATTCGGGAATAGCTAATCTTGTCTTCAACATGGGTGGCGGTGTGGTTCAAATGAAGGAGCAACGACGACGTCTGAATGATGGCAACTATCATCGCATTCGTGTCTTTCGACATGGCCTCGCAACCCTCCTTGAAGTGGACGAATTGACTACTAAGCACATTTCAAATGGTACGATTGGAAGTCCGAAGTTGCAAAAAAAAAACGTTCAAGTAATTCAGTAACAATCTTTTGTACCATAAAAAAAAGTTTGCTTAGCTGAAAAAAAAAGTGGTGAAAGCTAAAGGGTGAGAAAGAGTAGGCTGGACTATGTACGCTTGCATTGAAGGTCCACACGGAGAACAATTCAACGATCAGCATTCAATTTGGTTGGGTCACGCTCCTGCCATGGAGAACTACACTGACGCCTTTCGAGGTGTTCTTTCAGGCATGTTTAACACATTTCTTGAATTACATCTTAAAGAAGAAGACATTAACGGTTGACGTTTTTGTTTCTTTCTTTTTTTTGCTTCCAAAAGGCGTATTTTACAACGGTCTTCCTCTATCCGATCTGGCAGCAGGTCTGTCGCATCGAGCTGATGTGCATGTCACCAGACACTCCGACATCCAGTATCTGGCCAACTTCAAAATTAGCCTCTCTCCTGACTCCTTCTTTCGCCAGTACGTTAAACTCTAGGCTACTTTTCTGTCAAAAATTTTATGTGCGCCTTTATTCGAACTTTATATAGACAGAGGAGTGGTTTCGTGGGTTCGTTCGTCTTTGGACTACTTTAAGTGTATACACACCCTCTTCAGTCTTAATGTCGTGTCCCATCATAAAAAAGAGATACTAGAAAAGTGTTTTACATAGCTCAAGTCACCCTTGAAAGCATTCAAATCTTCGGCAGTACGGAAACCTATGTATTATTAACGTACTGGGAGCCGGAAAAAGCTATAGGCGTGAACAGAGCGTTTCATTACTACTAAAGTGAAGCTGAAATTGCAATAAGTGGACTATCAAAACAAAAGAACCCTAGCTATAGATAACTTGCAGATGTATTCTGAGGTTCGGTGCGAGTAGGAGATGATCCTTCTTTCTGTCTGCTGACGGAAGAGGCAATGACGTACATTCCAATCTAAATTGGTGTCACTGTGCCTTCATCAGCCTACTGAGGAGTTTTTAAATGGAGTGTGTGTGCATTTTGGACTGTCTTTGCTGACATGGTGTATAGAGGCTTTTTTTGACTGGTAAAATGGACAAAGTGGCGTGGTATTCTGGGCAAGACTGAAAGCAGGGACGCTTGCCTCCCTATTGTGCCCCGATCTCAGCGTCTTCCATTAAACAATCTCTCTTGTCAATGAGCTAGAGAGAGAGTGGAAGGATTCTGTCCCTTGCTTGGCATCTCTACTGAATTTGGAGTCTCGTCCTATCTGGTGTTGACGCTAGGAAGGGGACCAAGTGCCGATTATCACTTATGTTCATCTCGAAAAAGCAAGAACAATGACCATGGATAAGGTTTAAAATATTATTGTAGGGAAAGGGTCTCGTGTCGTCTTCCCGTCACTCCTTTTTTCGCACTCCAGTGCTGCTTAGCCACATTTCTGCCCGTGTTGCAGTCAGGCAGTGGATAGGTGAAGGTCGCACCGCATGTCCACTTAATTACCGTCTCCATTTGGTCATTGTAGATATGTCTGCAGGACGAAGAATTAGTGTAACTGCTCAACGTAGATGTAATTTTAAATAAGTTTTGTTATGAGTCTGTGCAACGAGTGGGAAAATTCATGTAGAGATTCACTCTGTCCCGCCAGAAATATAACTCTTGTGGTTAACTTGATGCCGAAGAGATAGCATTAATGGTAAGAAGTCCAAAAGTCAGGACTTAATTGGCTGCAAAATATGGGCAAAGAATTAAACAAGCAGCCGAAATATCAAATTTTTTAAATTAGTGACCCACTTGCGACATTTGGCCGGTACTATGGTAGAAAGCAAAATTTCAAACCCGTCAACCGTCAAGCTCCGACGAAATGCGTTACCATGATCGCCGGAGGCAAACGATTGTGTTGATTTGAAGCTGTCAGACGTTAGTAAGATGCCTGCAGTTTTGATCTATACATTCTCATCCTTGTTGGTAATTCATTTTAATTATGCTTGAGGTGAGGCGTAACGTTCTAATTTTAGACACTCATGAAATCATACGCCTCACCAATGCTGCAGTAACCAATACCGTTTTATTTCCTTTGGTCGTCCATTCCCAGTCTCCTTTACCATTCCACTCTGCGCTGCAGATCACACGTAAATGTGTAGCTTTTAGATGTACTGTAAGCGGAGGAAAGATCTTTTGGCAAAACAAATCTCCTATCCCAACAAGGGACAAGCAATTTTCGCGTTTCAGTATGCACGTTTGAGTTCCACGTGAGACCGTTTTGCCTGCCCCATTGTTGAGTTCAAATGACAGAGAGAAGATTCCCAAACCCAATTGACTGACGCTCTAGCCGAGCGTCAGTTAATGGAGGATTTTCTCTCACGTGCTGAGGAGGCGTTGAGGACCTTCGAAGCAGAAAACAGGTGGTAAAGGGATAAAATGAGAGTCAGCATGCAAGAGTTAAACTCTGTTTTTAAACAGACATCACAATGATAATTCTCTTTCTTTTTGGAAGTCATTCGCCCTATCAGATGGTCAGAAAACAATGCATATGACAGGAATGCGGATCAAAGTGTGGGTCAAATAGTTCGCCACTTATTGATTGTAAAAAATTTTGATAAGATCCACTGGAATGGCCCGTCTCCAATCATTATGATCGATGATGACGCCTAAATCCTCCAGACTAAAAGAAGATCCTCTTTAACATCATCCACTCATTCTCATATAAATCATCAATATGATTCAGCCTCTGAAATCACTTCCCAAATGTCGCAGTTGAAACTGCAGCTAATGCAAGACTAAATGAAAAAACCGTGAGCAGGAGAGAGGAAGAGAGATAGATGCATCTGATAATAAGGCATATTCCCTCTAGGTTACCAAATGCAGACCTTGCCAATGCTGAAGGCACCTCCTATCATGACGATGAAGCGGCACTGAATGCTGGCGAGGTGATCGGCCTCCCGCCTCCCTTCTTTACCGCCACCACCACTGCCATCGAATCCCTCGGTTTCCAGTCTCACCGCGAATGGATTCAGTTTCCACCACGGACACGCCCATCCACAGACGACTCTGTTTCCCTCCCTCTTCAGAGTCACGTCAACACATGGCTCCTTGTATGCCTAGGCGCTGCAGGTCTAGTCCTCACAATTGCTCTCCTACTCCTCCTTGTACACTGTCTTCAACGTCGCCGAAGGCAGCAAAGAAATCACCAGCGTCCAACTCGACTCCAAGAGCAGGCTATCATTGAGAGGATCGGACAACATCGAATTCGTGCCGGAGACCAGTTTAAAACGTCACAAAAGATTAACATAGAGCCTGTAATGCCACCGGGCCAACCACCCGTTAGTTACGTCGCCTTCTCTGAACCCTCCTTGGAAGAATTCATTGCTCTGCCTGAAGAGCAACTGTAAATACAAAGACTGCTGGTGACTTAGAGCATGCATTCCATGGAGTTATAATAAAATGTACAAAGCCTCGTACTTAAAAAAAACC